TCGGAAACAGTGTCAGCATGAATGTTTCAGTAAAGCCAATCGACAACTGGTCAAAAGGAATCCGCCGTCGTCTTCTGGTGGAATTGACCTACGAATCTCTTCACGCAACATTTTCACTCGAAATGGAAGTAAGCTCATCACACTATCTTGTTCTTACTTCCTTCGATTACATTTATTTGGTTACAAATACGAACGAATACTTTCGGACTTGGTAGAGCCGACCTAGTACATGATATTACCAGTAATGCTGGACTCTTAATAGTCCCCTTTTTTTGCTCCACTACAGAATCTACAACGAGTAGTCATTGAACGCAAAGAGGAATTCGAGGATATTCGTGGGATTGCGGAACAACTTGGCGCGCCTGGGGTTCTCTCTGTCGTCACAGGCCTGATGGACCGCTACATTCGCTTGAAAAGCCGAGTGCAGGTAAGGCTTTAACTTGAACGAGACTCATGGCCTCTTTTCCTCCGTCAGTTTCGTTTGGTGCTGAGGCATGGAAGTATGTGGGTTCGCATTTCTACTTGTTGCTAGCCTAATTAGAATCGGAAGGACTGGGGCAGGACATTATGTATTTAGCGCCAAGATACACGTACTGTAATGCCTTGTAGTTAGTCAAGAGTTTACTTCGTTAATAAAGTTTACGGGTAAACGCAGGGTTATTAATGGGTACAAAATTTCCTAGCAAATGATGCAAATTTTGAGAGGTATCCTTTGCCCCGCAAGCCATGCTTGGCGTGAGGCACGATGGGACTAGGATTGTGTTTCTTCGGCAGTAACGTGTTCGCCTGCCGACCAGTATTTTCACGATTCGAATCCCACCGAAGCTGCCAATGAGGCCATGAGGTGAGCTCGAACCTGTAGTCCAGCCTGGATTTTGGACTCAGCCACTAACAGAGCAAAAGAATACAAGCCTCATTTGCCTCTTGGTCACTCATAAGGAAAGTTGACGATTACTAAATAGCAATACTTTGTTTGGACTCGTTTTATTTCAGAATGGCTTTTGGCCCTGCGAAAGAGAATCTAATCAATCCAAATTAGCAAATCTGGAGATAAGAGGATAGGTCTGTTTGGGACTTAGTGCTACCAAATGCCCGTCTGGTATACATTTGGAACTGCCGACTGTGCAGACCGAATCGA